CAATACTTATATTTCCTCGTAATTTTTTTATTTATTTGTGACATAATTTGCAACATATATAAATCTTGAAAAATGTGTTGCAAAAAATTACAACAGAATCGACAACAATTATATTTTCTTGCAATGCAAAATGTTGCAACGGAAATGACAGTCATTAATTACGTGGCAATTTTCTGTGACGGAAATCTTAGTTGTCACATTGGATTACTACAATAATATTTACTACAATTTTCAGTTGGATGCAAATTCCGTTATAATTGAAAATTGTGACGGAATTTTTGTTAGTTGTGACAAAATTTTTCGGTAGTAATTTGTAATTTGTTTTGTAGTGGTGGGGGTGAATGAAATGAATGTCCAGATTTAGATGATTATGATATAGGCCAATACATAGTTAATGAAATTGTTGGTTATTAGGCAATGAATTTTGATGATAGTGTAAGAGGGAATATGCAACAAGAAACATGTTGAATGGATGTTAGAAATGAATAATTAGGGACTGAAAATGATACAATATAAGATAATATAATAATTGAAAGTGACGGAAAATGGGACGAGTTAGTTGAATTTGAATATGAGATAACTGTGTGCAAGCAGCGCGTAACCATGAATTCTATGAAGTCTAATCCATCCAGTATATATGCTTCAAAGTTTGAAATAAGGATAGCCTTCTTAACGGGAGAACGTTGTCGTCAGGTCCAAAGATCTAAATTTTGAGTGAAGATCAATGCATTTAAAGTGAAGGACGATACTAGTTTCCAAATAAATATATTGCACCATAATCATTCTTCATCATGCCTTTCATCCTATAATGTTGCAGATATATTTTTTTTTTTGTTTTAAATTGCAAATATTAGGACTTCTTGATTAAGTGAAAAGTTTGCTCACAAGTTTATATATGATTCAAAACAAAATTACGGGATTCTAGGAAGGAGAAAATGAGAGACTTAAATGTGAGTGTGTAAAACGGTCAAACCTATAAGGCAAAGAGAAGTGCTCTGGAACAGATCGGTGGTCATCTTGTGTACTAATACACTCGTCTTTAGGATTATGCACATGAGTTAAATGATGAAAGGCATGATGAAGAATGATTAGGGTGCAATACATTTATTTGGAAACTAGTCTCGTCCTTCACTTTAAATGCATTGATCTTTACTCAAATTTTGGATCTTTGCACCTAATGACAACCTACTCTTGTCGATTTTTGTAAAAGCCACGTTCATTCTCTCTACAATTGCATATGACTAAACTGCTCTGTTTAACTCACCCCCGTTAAGAAGACCATCCCTATTTCAAACTTTGAAACATATACATTGGATGGATTAGACTTTATAAAATTCATGGTTACGCCCCGCTTACGCACAGTTCTCTTATATTCAAATTTCAACTAACTCGTCCCATTTTCCATCACTTTCAATTATTATATTCTCTTCCATTGTATCATTTTCATCATTCTCAATATATATGATTCAAAACAAAAAAGTACAGGATTCTAGGAATGAGATAATGAGAGACGTAAATGTGAGTGTGTAGAACGGTCAAACCTATAGGGCAAAGAGAAGTGCTTTGGAACATATCGGTATACAACCGTCTTTAGGATTATGCACATGAGTTAAGAAAGACTAATCCAAAGACTATTGTTCTGTTGGGTGTTGAACATGACAATGATGAATCTGTGTTTGACCGATTTTATGTGTGCTTTGGTTCTTTAAAAGAGGGTTTTGGTGTTGGATGCAGACACATAATTGGTGTGAATGGATGCCAACCTGAAGAGGACATATGCCAGTGTGTTGTTTACCGCCGTTGGATTGATCCAAATAACAACATGTTTCCAATTGCATTTTTTGTAGTGAGTAGAGAGGCTGACGAAAATTGAAGATGGTTCTTGACATTGCTAAAGAGATTTAAGGATTGAGGATGACAAGGATATTACTTTCATGTTTGATAAATAGAAGAATCTAATACAAGTTTTTGATCATGTATTCTCACATTATGATTATAAATTCTTTGTAAGATTCTTACCTGGAAGGGGGGGCTAAAGGGTGTTGGCCCTCTCATTCATCTATTTTTTTTTTTTTTTGTATCTAATTTTTAAATTTTGAGTAATGGTCACCCTTATTAATTTAATAAAAAATTATTATAACAAATTTATTTTAAAATATTGTTTAGTTTTGATCAAAATATTAAAAATATATTTTTTTTATAAAAAAATTATATCAAAATACTATTTAAATTAAAATTTAAATAAAAAATTCAATCTTAAATAAAAACCAAACAAACATTCTTATTAGTCTTTTATTGATATTATATTATTTGTTTTATAAAATATAATGTAGTATTAATATATAATATATAATAATTTATTTATTAAAAGTTTACTTAATAAAATAAACAAATAGGCCAGCCCAACAGACCAACCCGTTCTTTTTCTTTTTTGTTTCTTTTTTCCAAGGACACGGGACACCGGGCGATATCCTGCTGGAAGTTCTCCGTCATTCAATAAATTGTTGCTGTGTTTTCGTTATATTCGAGCTGTGCCAAATTTTAGAGACATTATTTATTGATTTTCTCTCACAATCTGTCATTCAAAACTTCAGGTGCAATTTTCAACTTTTAAGGATTAAGAAAAATATATGTATATATATATTTTAAAATTATCCGAATGGACAATTTGAGCATCAAACAAGTGGTTTAAAGTGGTGATTTAGAATTTCCTAAAAATTGCAACAAATTTCAAAGGTTCAAAGTTTGGTTTCTTGTTTGATTTAGTTTAGTTGAAAATGGTACAAATTTAGATTAATTTATTGCTTCTCATGTTATATTTTCTAAAATTATACAAATATGTTTATTTTTTCATTTGTTTATGGTCAAGTCCATTTTCATATGAGGTTGAGCCCAAGATTATTTCAAAAGGTGATAGCCTCTGTATTCTTAACAAAAGAATTCCAAATTTACATTAATTTACATTAATTTAATATAGTAACATGTCCCATATAGATAATAAAAAAAATTAGAATGAAACTTCAAATCAATATAGTTTTTATTTATCCAATCAAATTTGTTTGATACATTTCTAATTAATATTGTAAAAATATAATATATATTCACACGTAATGTACTTCTTTCATCCCAATTGAAAGTAAAATTTTTAATATTTTTGTCCGTCTCATTAAAAATACAGTATCAATTTTCTATCATAGCAAACACATGCATACACTCGTACCAAAAATACTCTTTAATGTATATATAAATTATAAATATACAATTTCACGTACAATTAATTTATATATAAAATATAAAGAATAAAATTTTCAAAATTAAATTATACACTTTTACTAACTAATAAAATATTATTATTTCTTACTCCGCCATAAAATCTCAAATGAATATTGAGACAAAATGAGTATATTTTATCCATTCAAATAATTAATAATTAAATATAAAATATTATTATTTATATAACTGATATGTTTCTTTATAACTAATACCATATCCTTGCGGTAAAAGTAGTCCATTTGGTCCAACAAGAAAATAAAAAAGAAAAAAGTTTATTGAAAAAGTAAAATGATAGTTATGAGTATTTTTGAAAATTAATTAGTAATAAATACTAACGAAGAGAGATAATATAATAAAAAAAATGACAATTATAGTAAATAAATGTTGTACAAAAAATAATAGTTTGATGTTAAAAATTTAATTTTATCAAAATTAGTAATTAACTGAATTTATCTTACGGACCAGAAAGAAAAATAGGTAAATTTGGAGGATAAAGAAAATATAAAAATACCTCAAACTCAATATACAAAACAAAAACATCAAATATTGTTGTTCAATATTTAGGCTCTTTTAAAAATAAACCCTTGAACTTTTGAAGTTTTGAAAAAAATTAAATAGTGAAAAATTAAAGTTTGTTTACATGAGCCGGTTTATTTTATGAAATAATTTGAAGGAATATTTTTTTAAAGTAACATATAAAAAATTTATATAACTAATATAAAAATAGTGAATATTTGTGATATATTAATTTTTTTGAAAAAATATGTGATTATTTTTACAAAATAAACACACTCAATTTTGAAGACTGTTAATTTTTAAAAGATACTTATTATATTAAATACCTTTTTGGTCATAAAATGTTCGGTCTTGTACATTTTTGGACAAATTAATTTTTTTTATATATATAATATGAGAAATTATGTAAAAAATGTAAAATATACTTAATCTTCCGTCACACCTATCATGTCCACATTGTCATTTCTATCGGTCCCACATTTCATGTCAATTTTTTAAAAAAAAAATATTATACACCTTAATATCATTTTAAATTTTAATTAAACTAATTAGTTATCTTTAATCTTAATTTATAATTATTTATATAATAGAATAATTATTTTCACTAATACATTCCTAATTATTTATTAATTATACTTATTTATAATTTTGGTGTCTACGGTAATCCGGACATGCAATATTACGTTGAATATTTAATTTTTTTGAAGAGTATTTATTTATTTATTTATTTTTACTTTTGTAAAAAGTATGTTTGATATTATTATTATTATTATTATTTTTGTGATCTTAATTTACCCATTGGCTTAGGCGAATAAAGCCTTAATCAAATATAACTTTTTAGATTTTAAAATTTTTAAAAGTATTAGTATTTGATATGATATTTTTAAAAGAATTATTGCAGAGATGAAAATGTACACAAAATTTAAAAATATCTGTGTTAACATATAGTCTTAATTTTTTAATTTTATATTAATATAAAATCAAAGCATACCTATTATTGTAGAATTTCTATATGTTCATAAGGAAACATTTGTAACCAAATTAAAATTAATTAATTTACTGAGTAAATCATCATTGTTGAAGTGGTTTCCGATATTCAAGGAAAAAATAAAATAATAATAATTTTATAATATTATTTTAGTTCATTTTTGTTTCCAAATATAATTCCCATAATGTTGCAGTAGGACTGAGATTGCAGCATACGTAAAAAAATGGCCACGGCTATTGTGAGAACCGGCCTTCGATCAGCTCTTCGCGGCGGCGCATCCTCTCCACGCGCTTCCACATTTTTGAAACGATCCTTCGCTTCTTCTGCTCATCAGGATGAAGCTGGTAAGACGTGAATTCTCTCGATTCTGAAATATATATCGATCGGACATTGTTGAAATGAAAAGATCGTTTATCTGATCTAATTTGTATTAATTATTCTCTGTTCGTATCAATGGCATTTCAGATTCATATCCGTTATGGAATTCTATCAATTTCGCTATGCAATTCGTGATTTGATTGTTGAAATTGTTTTTGGGCTTTGGTGCAATGCAGCCGAAGCTTCAAAATGGCAGAAGATAACTTTCGCTGGAATGGCGACGTGCGCCGTTTTCTCTTTCGTTGTCCTGTCCAAAGGCCATCCGCATCACGAAACACCTCCGGTGAGAACCAGACCTGAGATCTGATAGAATCCCTAATTCCGTATTCTCAATTAATTTGGGAATTTTATTCGTTAGATGAAGATGAGGGGCTTTTTATTGTGATAGAATCCCTATCTAGATTTAATTTGGGAATTCAATTTGTTAGATGAAGATGAGGATAGTTCACTATCCCCTGCATTGATATGGAAATTGGAAAATGAATGAATATCAATGACAGGATTTGAATTTTCATTGCTGATAATGATGTATTCAATTTCATGTTGCAGTCATACCACTATTTGCACATTCGCAACAAGGAATTCCCATGGGGTATGCTACCTTAATTCCATTGATCTTCTTCTTCTTGCTCATGATATTGATGAGGATTTACAGCAATTATACATTGAATGTGCCTATACTTTAGTAGTATTTGTAATTTATTTACCTGCAATTGAAAGCTAAGATCATCTCATATGTATCTTATAATTTGGTGCCAAGATTCAATCCCTCTCGTGCTATATGCTCTGCTAAGATCATCTCATATGTATCTTATAATTTGGCACTAAGATTCGATCTCTCTCGTGCTATATGCTCTGCTAAGATCATCTCATATGCATCTTATAATTTGGTGCCAAGATTTGATCTCTCTCGTGCTATATGCTCCGCCAAGATCATCTCATATGTATCTTATAATTTGGTGCCAAGATTCAATCTCTCTGGTGCTATGTGCTCTGCTAAGATCAACTCATATGTATCTTATAATTTGGTGCCAAGATTCGCTCTCTCTCATGTTATACGCTCTGCTACTTAAGTCTTTGGCAAGTATGAACTCATAAGAAATTTACGTAACATTTTCCAATTATGTTGACATCAATGCTTGCACAAAATCCTCCAAAGAATGGTTGTCAGGGAAATATTGCTTCTACATCCTATCTAATATTCTGTATTTCAAGAACTGCTACTGATAGACCAATGATTAACCATTACCGTTTGCATTTACAGGTCCAGATGGTCTTTTTGAGAGTAAGAATCATTGATATGATTCTCAATGTTTCAATCATAAGTGAATAATCGGTTGCGCCACAACCAGCCTGCCTTCCAAGGGAGTCCAGACAGGTCTAATGAAAGTTTTCATTCCATCGACAACTATGGTAGCTAGAACAACTATTGTTTTTGGATCAATGGTAGTTAAATTCTTCTCATTGACTTGCTTCAGAATAAAACTCTAAATTATCTGTTCCAATGATTCTTTGTTGAGCTTTTCTTTTATTCTTTTATTCATTACATTACATTACATAAATTTGTAGACAATGGAATCCCAATAGTTGTTATACCACCCGTTATCATAAATTTTCTTTTCTTGTTTTTTTATTATTTAACTTATCGGGATATTTTAGTGGAGAGGAATTTGCAAATGAGCTGAGGTTGAAGTAGAGTTGGAGTTCTTGAAACTCAATAACTTCTACAATAATTTCAGCCCTATATATACATATAAATATATATATGTATATGTATGTGTGTGAATTTTTCAAATTTTATTTGAAGGTTAGATGAATATGATTTCCTAATAAAATAATTCTGTTTTTTTTTTTTTTTTTTTTTTTTTTTTTTTTTTTTTTTTTACGTGAGAATCTGCAATCGCTATATATTTTTTTTTTTTCTCATTTCGTGTGAATTCTAGAAGATAAGAAACAGAGTGTGGCTGATGTTCTTCTCCCTTGTATTTGCCTCGGTTTTTTGGTGTGGTTTTTAATTCTAATTTAGTAGATTACCAATACTTGATACTAGAGCGTTGTTTCGTATTATGTCCAAATATTTATGATTGGAAGACATGGCTCTATAGCTCAAGCAAAAGAGAGCGGTGGTGTGCCGTACCAGTGTCCTATGCTAACGTCTTCGCATTACACCTCTTGGGCAATCCGAATGGAAGCTATTTTAGACGCATAGGGATTATGGGAGTCCGTCAAACCACCGCACGACAAGGGGGTCGACACGAAGAAATGTAAAATAACAAGGGCTTTCATTTTTCAAGGGTTACCAAGGACGTTCTACTACAAGTGGCCAAGAAGAAGACGGCAAGAGAAATGTGTGATTCATTGAAGTTGCGTTACCTTGGGGCTATCGAGTACAGAGGGCTCGATTACGCACACTGAAAAATGAGTTTGAGGCTCTTCGGATGAAGAATAGGAAAGTATCGATGAATTCACCGGAAAATTGAGTGGGATGATGTCCAAATTCAACAACTTTGGGGCGATGCTTGAGGATAGTCTTTTGGTGCGAAATTGCTCGATTCAGTCCCCGACAAATATTTAAAGTTGGTATCCTCGATTCAGCAATATTAAGATATTGACTCCATGCCGTTCGATGAGGCTTCCAGTAGATTGAAGACATGTGAAGATAGATTACGACTCCGAAGTGGTAATGGAGTGCTGAAACCAGCCTACTACTGACCAAAACTGAAAGCAAGCAAGTTCACAAGGCTGCATGAGGATCGTTGGGAGGACGAGGACGCGGATAAGAAACACATTAAGTGTTTCAATTTTGAAAAATACGGTCATTATGCATCCGAATGCAAACCACCAAAGGAGAAATGAGACCAAAGCAAATTTTCTTGAAACAAAAGAGGAAGAACCGGCTTTGTTACTTAGCGTCTACGGAGAGGAAAAAAATAAGTCAGTTCTATTGAACGAGAAGAATGTATGTCCTAGTGCAAGGACTGATGAATGAATTTTTAAAGATTCATGATGATTTTGGTGGTCTAATATGAGGTGGAATGATCGAGAAATTGATTGTATAAGATTGCACTCCAGACTTTTCAACATGTTTGTGTAATAGCAAATCTCGATAACAAAGCATGGATGTGGCATGGTCGATTTGGTCATGTGAATTTTCTTATGATCGAGTGGATGGTTCGAAATGAATTAGTTCATAGTGTTCCCCATTATACAACATCCTACAAAAGTTTGCGGGGATGTATGGTCGTAAAATAATCGAGACATCCGTTCCCAAAAGAAGCTCAATGGCGGACAAGTCGACCTCTTGAATTGGTTCATGGTGATCTATGTGGTCCGATATCTTCCTCAACGGTGTCACGTAAACATTACTTTATATTAATAGTTGATTATTTCAGTCGTTACATGTGGATTTTTCATGCTGAAATCAAGGATAAAACCTTTGCCAATTTTACGAAATTCAAAGTTAAAATTGAGAAAGACACATCGATGAAGCTGAAAGGATTGCGAACTGATTGTGGGGGGAGATTCACCTGGGGGAGATTCACCTCTAAAAGATTTAAAGAGTTTTGTGAGCAGAAAGGAATTCAGAGGCAACTTACAAACAAAATGGTGTGGTAGAACGTTGTAATAGAACCATTCTTGAAGTTACGAGGTCGTTATTACAAACAATGAATATGCCGGATGTAATGCGGGGTGAAGCTATCCGGAATGCTATCTACATACTCAACCGTATTCCAACTAAAAGAGTGAAATGGATGACGTCATATGAAGGTTTAAAATGATTTAAACCAACATTTGAGCACCTAAAGGTGTTTGGGTGTATTGGGTATGTAAAAAAGTTGACTAATCAGGTTTTGAAACTCAGCAATCCGGCACTCCAATGATTTATTTGGGTCTTGAATCGAGTTCTAAAGCCTACGGAATGTTGAACCCAAGTGAGAAGAAGATGGTGGTTGCTCGTATGAAAAAAATGAAGTTGGGCCCAATCATACACGAAAGAGGTTGATACAAATTAAATGTGGGTTGACGATTTTTTCAATCATATCCCAGAAGAAAAAGTACCAGCTGACACCAACATCAGTCTGAACCTCATGTTGAGCATGCTAATGAAAATTCTGTAGCAGCTCCTTCGAGCGAACACAGTGCAGAAAATGTAGATCCCTCAACGTATGAACACACCTCTATTAAAGGCTTTCAAAATCTCACCGATATTTACAATGAGATAGAGCACATGGAAGCGGAATCCGATGAATTGATGTTTATAGGTGATGAGCCTACAACATTCACAGAGGTTGTTAGTGTTCCATCTTGGCGGAAAGCAATGAAAGAGAAATTGTGTTCGATTGAAAAGAATCATACTTGAAAGCTTACAACTCTTTCACCTGGGGACAACCCTTGAAAGCTTACAAATATTTGAGCTTTAAAAAGTATTCACAAGAGCAAGCGGTGTATAAGTTTCATTGTTCCAACACAACTCTGATAGTTGACATATATGTGGATGATTTAATTGTCATCGGATCAAGTGAAGACCAAGTAGCTCGGTTCAAAGGAAAAATACAACAAGTGTTTGAGATGAGTGACTTGGGGCTGCTGACTTACTACTTGGGCATAGACGTGCGGCAAAGTGAGAAAGACATCAAGATAAGTCAAACCGGGTATGTAAAGCGAATTCTATAAGCAGCTGGAATGTAGGACTATAACCCAACAAAGTCCTATTGAAGGATGAGGAAGGAACACTTGTGTATGCAACAAATTATCACCAACTCATTGGCCATGTTCGATACTTGACTCATACAAGACCAGGCCTTGCTTACTCTGTTGGGGTTGCTAGTCGATATGTGAGCAATCCAAAAGAAAGTCATCTGAAGGCAATGAAATAGATATTTCGATACTTAAAAGTTATAGTGCAATATGGTTTGGCATACACAAGAGAGGGGGTAGGCTACAGTGCAACAACTGCGGAATAGATTTGGATGATTGAAAGGGCACAACCGGAACAATGTTTTACTTCTCGAATAATCCAAATACATGGTTATCTAAAAAAATAATACATTGTGGCTCTATCTTCTTGTGAAGCAGAGTTTATGACAAGCCGTTGTCAAGCCGTATAGTTAAGGTATCTTTTGAAAGACTTAACCGGATAGGAAAGCTCGAGAGTAAGGCTGTTTGTTGATAATAAATTAGCAATAGCGCTAATAAAAAAATCCGGTATTTCATGGTAAAAGCAAACACATTAATACAAAGTATCATTTCATAAGTGAATGTATTGAAAAGAATATCATAAGCATGGAGCATGTTAGTGGAGAAGAGCAACGAGCCGACATATTGACCAAAGCATTACCATGAGTCAAGTATATCAAGATGATAAATCTATTAGGATTGAAGAATCTTGACGAAAAAAATCAAAATTGATTGAGAAAAAATGATAAAATAATTATGGGTTAAAAGTAGTTCAGTTTGGTGATTGATGGTGTGAGTAATTGAGAAATATCGAGGATATTTGAATGTGTGAACGTGTTATTCAGTTACAAGCAATTTTTTGTTTTGCATTAAGTGTATCATGTCTTTATGTATTGATTTTCTTTTCTCATTTCTTGTGAATTCCAAAGTATAAGAAACAGAGTGAGGCAGCTGTTTTTCTTTCTTGTATACCAATATTTGAATTTCATTTTCAAATATATATATATATATAATAAAGGGTTGAAAGAAAGCTGCACAAGTGTTTGCAGGGTGCAGCACAGAAAGAAAATGGCTTGAGAGAAATGTAGAGGACAAAAGAAAGATGAAAATTGGATGAATGAGTGAATGGGTGTGTTTGGGATTTGTATTGAAAGTTGGAAAGTACATTTTGTTCCCTGACACACAAAATTTCATACCTTTAGCCCAACACTGCATCTGCATGCAACAACAAATTCACTGCTTCATATATATGACATATCACACCTCACCTGCATACCAATATATATATCTTTATATTTATATTTATGCCTTGTCATTTTGTCAAATTATTTTAGAGCTGTTACATTTAAATTTTGTAATAGATAGATCCGAAAGTGACGAAAGCTGCAGGCAGCAAAGAACACATGCCATATGCAGAGACTGCATGGAAACTCGCAGGACAGGAAAAGGAACTTCTTTATTATAAAATTTATATGTATATAACATAACATAATAACACTGTAGAGACTGATTCCGAGGAAAGGTGATGGAGATGTGCCTTTAATTTGTCTTCAACTGCTCGCTCAAACTCAAAACACTTTTAGATGTGAACAAGAACCAAATTTATTAATCAATTATTACTATTATTATTATTAATATAAAAGAGGAATCAGACCAGAGAATCCTTTTCCTTTTTTTTCTCCCTCCCCCCCCCCCCCCCCCCCTCTCTCTCTCTACTCTC